TTCTAAAATGGCACTTAACCTCTAAAATGTTATGTGAACGGATAGAGCTGAAAACCTGAAATTTGGTATGAGAATCTAGGTTGGGAAGTACTTTTGATACATGAAGGCGGTCTTCGAAATGTTGGAGATAAAATTCTGAAATTTGGTATTTAGATAACTGTTGGTATCGGGGATTGAGATATGGAGGTGGTTTGGCAAATGTGTACTATAGTTGTACGAAAAATACTAAATAGTAATAAAATCGATATTGGGTGAAGGAATGAGGCTAAAATCCTCAAATTGGATATTGAGGTCTAGGTTGGTATCTGAAATCGAGAATTTGATATTGAGGTCTCTTTTGGTATCTGACTTATGAATCTGTACGGAAATATGTACTATTTAGTACGAAAAGTATTAAATAGTATTAAATTTGATACTTTTTGCTTCTCAATAATAAAAAGGCCCATATGATTTTCCTCCAACTTTGCAAATCCTTTTATTTTCATCAGTTCTAGATCGAGTGCGGAAATGGACAATATTGGCCCACTGCATCTAGTACACAACACCCACCCCCACGTCACCAATCCAAAGGTCAAAATTTTGAATAATTATATATATATTGACATCAAATGACACCATTCTAATATTATTGCCAGCACAAGATCTGGTGTGAAGATGGGATACACCGGTCCAGTCCTTCTGATACCTCCCCCACAACGCGTCAGAATTTTGAAAATCAATAAAGCTCATAAAGCGCGAAATGGGCAGCTGATTCCTTTAAAACTCGACATATCCTAATATTTCTATCAATACTAGATAGGTTATGAAGATTGAATATATCGAAGGACTCGTTTTGGTAAATTGTTATACCCTCCACCTTGGAAAGGAGGGTATATTAACTTTGTCATTCCGTTTTTAACATCGTTAAATATTCTTCTTAGACCCCATAAAGTATATATATTCATAATCAGCATAAAATTCTAAGTCGATTTAACGATGTCCGTCTGTCTATCTGTCTGTCCGTCTGTATGTCTGTCTGTCTGTCTGTTGAAATCACGATACAGCGCCAAAATTTAGCAGAGCTATTTGCATTGTGTCTAGGATGGTTGGTATTGAAAATGAGATATATCGGTCCACGTTCTGGTATAGTCCCCATATAACGGTACCTCCCGATATCCGGTATTTTAATGATTTATGCCACATTTTTTCACGGATTTGTCTGGAAATTGGTATTTGTAGGTCATAACGGGTCCCTGAGCGTGTGGCAAAACATTGCATGTATAGGTCCACGTTGTGGTATAGCCCCCATATAAAGGTACCTCCCGATATTCGGTATTTTAGTTTTGTTGCCACATTTATTCACGGATTTGTCTAAAAATTGGTATTTGTGGGTTATAATGGTTTCCAGCTCCGATGGCGAAACATTGCATGTATGGGTCCATGATTTGGTATAGCCCCCATATAACGGTACCTCCCGATATTCGGTATTTTGATGGTTTTTGCCACATTTTTTCACTGATTTGTCTAAAAATTGGTATTTGTGGGTTCGTGTGGCGGAACATTGTAATTATAGGTCCACGTTTTGGTGTAGCCCCCATATAACGGTACCTCCCGATATTCGGCATTTTAATGGTTTTTGCCACATTTCTTTAATGTTTCTTTTACCCTAAGGTGGAGGGTATTAAAAGTTTGGCCCGGTCGAACTTAATGTTTTTTTAATTGGTTTTGACTTGTTTTTTTAAACAAAGGTAGACGACAAATTTCTTTTTGATCTGACATCAAACATATTCTTTGAATTCGATGGAAGATCGAAACCTGTACATCAAATATTACACGAACCCCTCTCTCTTAAAATAGAAAAAAATGTTTTCCCATAAGAGATACGAGAGAATGATTGAGAAAGTTATTGTAATATTTGACCTATAAGTGTCATGCTTTCATCTGAATATTTGTCCTTTAGGCGTCGTTCTTTCAGCGGAATATGTGACCCACAGGTGTCGTTCTTTCATTGGGATATGTGACCTACAGGTGTCGTTCTTTCATCGGGATATTGGACCTACAGGTTTTGTTCTTCCATTGGAATATATAACCATATTTCACATGGGAATATTTGACCAACAGATGTCGTCCCTTCATAGGTATATTAGATCACCAAAGATGTTGTGATGTGTGTAATTTGAAGACAATCGGGCTCTTGCATCATATTTTATATGAGTTATGATTATTCAAAATTCTTAACCTTTGTTGGGGAGGTACTTGAGAGAGTGAACGGATATTGTCCATTTTCGCTCCTGACCTAGCACTGACGCAAATATTAGGATTTACAAAGTTGAAGCAAAATCGGAATATCCTTTCTCTTTTTGTGCAAAATATGTTTTTTGAAAATTTCGTTCTTTTGTGGGGGATGTACCAGAAGGAGTGGACCGATATTGCCCATCTCCGAACTCAATCTAAGTTTGATAATAATATTACGATGTACCAAGATTGGGATTGGAATCGGATACTCCATTCGTGTTATCGTGCGCTACAGTCTGACAGGCCGACATAAGGACGAACATTGCTAGATCGACTCCAAATGTGCTGAAACGGATTTGGTCCAAAGAGACCTTCGATCTAAAACCGTTATTTCGATGAGGCATGTTTTGGCCGTATCAAATGATTTATACCCTCTCTAGCCATATGGCTGAGGATGACGCTCGTTCATCGAAATGGACAACTTAGTAAGTTGTTTTCAATAAGTCAAGATTGGAAAGAACCATGGCATATTCGGCTCAGAACCAAATGAATAACTTATCAACTGAAAAACAAGTAAAAAAGCTGTAAGTTCGGCCGGGCCGATCTTTGATTACCTTCCACCTTTTTGTACAAATTTGGCAATTTTCAAAAAAATAAAATCCGTTAAAAATTCCGTTAAAATCTTTAAAAATACCGACTGCAGCCGTATATTAGGGTCTGTACGACGACGTGGACCTGCATAGGCAACTTTTGTCACAAGCTATTACAATATTCAAATGCGAAACTTGAAAAAAAATCTGTTTATAATGTAGCTAAAAGCATCAAAATTCTGAATATAGGGAGGAACCATGGGAGTTGTAAAACGTGGACCTGCACAGACAATTTTTGGTCATAGGTTGTAGTATCCATTACGAACTTCAAATGCGAAATTTGAAACAAGTCCGGTAAATAATGTCGCTAAAATCATCAGAATGCAGAATATCGGGAGGTACCATTATGTGGGGACTATACGAAGAAGTGGACCTACATGGCCCATTTTCTGTTTTATGCTGTAGTGTCTATTACGAACTTCAAATACCAAATTTGAAACAATTCCCGATAATATCGCTAAAATCATCAGAATACCGAATATCGGAGGGTACCGTTATATTTGGGGGCTATACGAAGACGTGGACCTACATGGCCCATTTTCAATACCAAAAGTCCTGCAGACATAATACACATTTGAGTAAAATTTTATCAACCTACTTCATTTTGTTCGGAAGCTAGAGTGATTTCCACAGACGGATAGACGGACGGACATAGAATTTTATGCTGATCAAGAATATATATACTTTGTGGGGTCTAAAATGTATATTTCGTGGTGTTACAAACGGAATGACAGACTTAATATACCCTCCGTACTATGGTGGAGGGTATAATATTGCAATAGAGTTGACAGTTTTGTGATTTGATGTTAATGTTGAATCTCCATATTGGAAAATGTCCCACGTTGACGTCTATTGAGTTTCTACAAAATATTGAAAAGTATGTTTCTAGTTCTATCTGATTTGAGGAGGAAGTAACTTAAACTCACAACCTGTTACAGATTAATGCAATTTAAATATTTTCTTTTCGATTAACTTCTTAACGTGTTTTATTCGCTTGAAGAAGAAGAAGAAGAAAACTATGGGAAGTGTAATTTATTCAAACGCTCTTAACTCTCTAACGATTTGTGGCGGAGGAGGGAGGGGGGGAAATGGGGTTCCTATGTAAATTTCAAATGATTAAATTATAAACAGGTATTGGCAGACGGACAGTAATTCTTATCACACCAATCAAATTGGAAATTTGGAAGATAAAACGCGATGTGTACGCCCACACACACACACCCCCCTCTCGCCGATGAATAAAAATTTATTCTAATTCTTCTTGGTCTTCCATTTTTCTTCATTTTTTTTTTTTTGAATTTTTTTATGAAAATTAATTTATTCAAATTTTTGGTATTTTTTCATTCCCCGCTGTCGTTGTTGTCAACAAAGGCCAAAGAGGCGAGGGGGAGCAAAGCAAACATAAGCAAAGAAAGTTATTTACCATAATAATGTGTCGTCGTCGTCGTAGCCGTTGGAGGGAAGCGTTGACTGACTGACTATTCCGCTGGTCATTTAGACTAGCCGTTTTTTTGTCATGAGCAGCGTGGCAGCACCACCTGATCACAGAGCTTTACAATGACGATGAGCGTTGTCGACGACGATCTTGGAAAGGTTTTTTATTTTTTTGAAATGCTTTAATGGAATGGTGGAGTTGACGCTGGCTGTGCCGCTGTCATGCTGGCTGGCGTCCCGACTATGTGAATTTTGTTATGGCGTTTAGTTGGTTGACGTTTTTTGTAAATGAAATTTTGTTGTCAGTTGCATTTTAAACGTTAACGTATACGGTTCGTAGCTGTGCTCAAAATTTCGCTGAGAGGCGGGAGATTCGGGAGTAGTAGTATTGTGTTCGTCGTCTATTGACTTTTTTTTGCTGTCATTGTGTGTTATCGTTACTATTATTATTTGTTATTGTTATTGTTTTTTTATTAAATTATTTTACATTTGACGTTGAAATAAAAAAAGAAACGAAACGAAAAAAAAAAACGATATTAAAGTTGAATAACTTCGAAGTAGTAGTGGCGCGCTCTGGCGGTGACTAAGTGAAAAGATAAGAAGAAAGAAAGGAGAAAAAACCAAGTGGAAGACGGAGAAGAATCGAAAGAGAAATACCTTGCGTTTCTGGTATTGTATAATCGCAAAAACGCACTGAACTCTGACGGCGGACAGCACGTTCGATCGCTCGCTCGCTCACTCGCAACGTAAAGAGGACTCTATCCAGACTAGACTCTCGCTCTTTTGGTGTAATCTCCCCCGTGGCAGAACATTGAGAGTAGAATAACCTTTGATGTGCTGATCAGTCATTAAAAAAAAAGTAGAATCGGGTTTTCGAAATTATTCGGCGTCGTCGGTTCGATACGATAAGAATCGATTCTCTGCCTTCGTACGGTCACTTGATCCCTATACATAGCGAGGAAAACTCCAAGTGTGAATCATTTTGTTTATAAACGCCATCCAAGTCGGAAATCCATACATCCACCTCCTAGCAGTGCGACATTGAAAGTTGGGGACCACGGAATAAATAATTGATAAGCCAGCGATCCAACAATTAGTTACTATTGCAATTGTTGTTGTTTTTTACGATTTGTTTGAGTGGATTTTAGCTGTTATCAGTCAACTTTAATAATAATTTTTGGCGAAATCTGAAGTGCCTGCCTGTCACCTGTTTCTACTTCTGCTATCGCTTAACTAACTTCCCAAGTGAGTGTCTTTTTAATTATGCGTCATTTACTCGTGAGTGTTGTATTATCTAAATTGTATTTCATTTTTTTGTTAACCGGCAAAGAAATTCGAACGTAACGTTTTCCGCATTTTTTTTGTGAATTTGTTTTGCTGAAAAAGAAAAATACCAAACCAATCATTTCTGATAAGTTGCAAAAACCACCGAACCCATGATTAATCATTCACAAATGCAGACAGTATTATTTTTGGCTACACATTTTGAAGGGGAAGTTTTCAATACAAAATAAAAACAAAAAAATATATTCCCGAAAAAATGACAAATTACATTGACTCGACTGAATTATCATTAAAAAAATAAACAAACAAAACACTTGGAACTGAACAACAACAAAATCGAAATCAACAACAACTGCAAAAAAGTGTCGGGTTATATCCATTACTATATTTTGGAATTTAATTTATTTGAAATTTGATATTATTCAAATTTTAAATCTTATTTCAACAATAGAATTCGAATTTTGGACAGAATTCTGGAATTGAGAAAAATGAGTTAAATAAAATTTTGAATTACTAATTCAAAAATGACATTGTAATTCGCTATAGATTTGAAATTTAAAATATTTCACTTGGAATTCAAAATTTCCAAAATTTCTAAAGAAAGAAATCAACGTTTTTAAACCCTCCACCATATTATAAAGGGTACATTGTCATTCCGTTTGTAAGTCCTCGAAATACCAATGGCAGACCTAGCAAAGTATATATATTCTGGATAAGCGTAAAATTCTAAGGCGATCTAGTTCCTCCAATAGAAAAAAAAATGTACTAAAAATACTTCGTATTTCCCCCATATAACGATATCTACCGATATTCGGTATTTTGATGGTTTTAGCGACGTCATTTGCCGGAATTGTTTCAAATTTCGTATTGGAAGATCTTAATGGGTACTACAACCTATAACAAAAAAATATTTATTTGGGTCAAGGTCTTCGTATAGCCCCCATATAACGGTACCCCTCAAAACCTGGTATTTGGACGAATTTGGCGACATTATTTAACGGAATTGTATCAAATTTCGTATTGGAAGATCTTAATAGGTACTACTTCGTATAGTCCCCATGTAACGGACCCCCGATATTCGGCATTTTGATGATTTTAGCCAAAATTTTCAATGGAATTACATGAAAATACATTTTACATTACTTTATCCCCTGGAAGAGAAATGTTGATAATTTTAGCGACGTTTTTCACCAGAATGGTTACAAATTTCGTATTGGAAGATTTTAATAGGCCCTACAAACTATGATAAAAAAATTTCGTATGCAGGTCTACATCTTCGTATAGGCCCCATATAACGGAACCTCCCGATATTCGGCATTTTGATGATTTTAGCGATATTTTTATCGGAATTGTTTGAAATTTCGTATTTGAAGTTCAGGTACTACAGCCAATGACAAAAAAATGCGTATGCAGGTCCACGTTTTTGCATAGTCTCCTTATGACGATACCTTCCGATATTCGGTATTTTGATAATTTTAACTACATTATTCAAATTTCATATTTGAAGTTCGTTATAGATACTTCAACTTAAGACAGAAAATTACCTATGCAGGTTCTTGACTTCGTGTAGCCTCCATATAACGGTACCTGGCGATATTCGGTATTTTGATGATTTTAGCGACATTTTTTTATTGTTTGAAATTTTGTATTTGAAGCTCAGGTACTACAGCCAATGACAAAAAATTGCGTATTCAAGTCCAAGCCTTCGTATAGACCCTATATAAAGATGCCTCCCGATATTCGGTATTTTTATGATTTTAGTGACATTTTTCAGCGGAATTGTTTCAAATTTGGTATTTGAAGTTCGTAATCGGTACTACAACCAATGATAACAAAATTGTTCATGCAGGTCCACGTCTTAGTATGGCCCCCATATAAAGATACGTCCCGATGTTCGGTCAGGTCTGGAGACATTATTTACCGGAATTGTTTCGAATTTCGTATTTAACGTTCGTAGTTGATACTACAGCCTGTGACAAAAAATTGCATATGCAGTTCCACGACCTCGTATGGGCCCCATATCGGTTTTCTTTTGGGGCGGTATTTTGCGACGATTTTTTTTAATTTTCAAGTCGCTTTCAAATGGGGGAGGTATTGAAAGTTCTGCCTGGGCGAACTTAGGTTCTTTTTTACTTTTTTCTTCTAATCAGATTCAGTCATGCCCCTCCTTCGGTTGCAATAAGGATATATTCGTAGGAATTGAGATAGGCTGTTGAAATTTGGTACACATGCGTTATGGGTCTGATCATGTTCGAAGATGGGTTAAATCGGACAACTTTTTCGTATAAAACTGTACCCCCTCATTTTAAACATTTTGACGACTTTCGGCACATTTTTCAACAGAATTGTCTGGAATTTGCTATTTATTGTTACAGGTTCCTAGCCACCTTTGGAAAAAAACTGTTAATATTAGGTCCACATCGTGGTATTATTTCCCATATAAAGGAACTCCCTATTTTCGGTATTCTGACGATTTTCCTCAATTTTTTCAACGGAATTGTCTGAAACTTCCTTATAGAAAAAATTGGAAATAGGCCCTCATTTTGTCTTTGTATATAAAATGTTGACCCGGTCGAACTTACTACTTCTTGCCCTGTGTCCTAGGAACCATATATAGTGGGCCAAAGTGTTCCACCTTATCTATTATTGATAAAATATTGGAAAGTGCAAAAAATAAAGAAAATCTAAAATTTATTTTCTATTCTATGCCAATAATTATAGATCAGAAAGATCGGGCAGATAATTCTCATATACACACCAGATCTCTGGTTGAGACAAATATTTTGATATATCAAGTTTGAATAGAAGCGCTTACTTGTTTCGCAAGCTATGAGAGATATAAATATTTAAAATTGTGATCCTCTGTGGGGAAGGTACCACAAGGAGTGGATCGATGTCCACCATCTTCACACCATATCTTGTTGTAGGTAGAAATATTGAGATGTGTGAAATTTAAACTGTGAAATTGGACGTTTATTTCGAATTTATTCAACATTTTGACCCGTTTTGAGGTACTTAATGGAGTGGGCCGATATCGTCAGTTTTCGAACGCAAAGTTTGAAAAAATTTTGATTGATCCCTTCTCTATCTGTGGGGTAAATTATTTCCTTTGAAAATTTTGACCTTTTGTGGAGAGGTACCAGAACAGTACCCACTTTAGCACTTGTATTTTCCGAATTAAAGAGATTTACATTCGATTTTTCTTAAAAAAATTATCATGCTATTGACCGGCCAAAAGTTCTTGACCCATAAGAATTAAAAAACACTTCACAGTTAAATACTGCGCAATCAAAGAATAGATTTGCACATTTTGCATACTTCCAGAATGTTTAATTAATTAATTAATTAAAAATTACGGAAAATGCAGTTTTAATTTTTTGTGCAAGAACCTAGGTTAACATTTTTGTCGTCGTTGTATTTAAATTTGTTGGGGGATAATTTATTTCGATTTCATCAAAGAATATTAGGAGGAACCCCAAGAACCCCACAATGAAAGCATTTGCATTCTAAAAACTAAAGAGTGTCCAAATAATACGCAAATTAATAGTAAACAATTTAATTTGGCCTTGCCAAATTTCAAGAATGTTCGAAATAATTAATTTTGGAACATAAATAAATGCCGCAAATGACACCACCTGTTTTACTTTAGTTTCAAAGAGTGATTTATTTTGTTTAGAGAATATATTAATTTAATAATATTTTAGTAATAATTATCTTTCAATGGACAATAAGAATTAAGAAAAAATCTTTGGGTGACGTGTGTCGTGTGTGTCGTAATTAAAATTAATTTGTAAAAAAATTAATCTTTTATAGATTATTTATGGAAGTTCAATTAATAATTCCATTATTTTGTTATGAATTTTAAGGTAATCTTATCAATGTAATCTGACATATGTAACAGCTGATGGGCATTGTGTAAAATAGCTTATCCTTTCAAAAAAAAAAAAAAAATAAAATAAAAAATAAATAATAAATAAATAAATAAATAAAAAAAATAAAAACTAAAGTAAAACATATTAGAAACTCGGTTTTCCAACATATTTCAATATTAATTTCTAATATTCCGGCACACTAATCGAATTTTTTTTAATTAAAAAAAAACAATTTTATTGATATTATGGTCTGTGTAGGTACGTCGAAAAAAACTAAATGCGAACGAAAAAAAAACAATTTAAATTTCTCTTTTCCAAAAAAATTTGAATTTATTTGAAGTGAATAAAATTATGGAGATCATACCTAAAATTTATGTTTTTCTTTCGTATTCATTTGAGCTGATATTAGCCTTTATTTGCACAATAAACCTGAAAAAGGATAAAGTTTATATGGGAGGCTATATCCAAATCTTAGCCCACCACAATAAAATTTGGCAAATGTATTTTCCTGGTGCCAAATACCATTGTTGTCTAATGCATATTGCGAATGTAAGGGACTTTAACAACAAATCGGATGAAAACATGGGAACTAAAGCGATTTTCACTTAATTTAAATTTACTTGCTTCGGTCAGATGTGCCAAAATTCAGGGCATTTGGACTGATATTGGCCATTTGGTGCACAATTAACGAAATCATTTGAAGACATACAGGGTGATATGAAAGAACTGCAACCAACTTCAGGCTGTTGTCAGCAGCCGTACAAAATTATTTTGGTGAGAATTTTCCAGAAAAAAAGTTATTCGTGTTGGAATTTAAGCGTGATAGTGTGATTTCTTTATTTGCCTGGAAAACCACAAGTGGCTATCGTTAGAGCACTCCAGCATTTAAATGTGAATAAGTATATTGTGTCTCATACCATCGCGATACTGGTAGTGTAGTCTGACGTCAAGGAAGTGGACGGAAGAAAACAGCAACATCAGCAGAAATGATCGAAACCCTCGTCGCATCACAATATTCCATTCGGCAAATATTGAAAAATGAGATCGGGGTAAAACCATTGAAATTCTAAAAAGTGTACGAACTTACAC